CTGGAATTGGGTATGTCTAGTTTAACGAAGAGAAGGACGAGGGGGGACATGATAGCAGTATTCCAATATCTCAGGGGCTGCCACAAAGAAGAGGGAGTCAAGCTCTTCTCCAAAGCGCCTGAAGGCAGGACAAGAAGCAACGGATGGAAACTAATCAACAAGAGAAGCAACCTAGAACTAAGGAGAAACTTCCTGACAGTTAGAACGATTAACCAGTGGAACAACCTGACTCCAGAAGTGGTGAATGCTCCAACACTAGAAGTTTTTAAGAAGAGACTGGACAGCCATTTGTCCGAAATGGTATAGGGTTTCCTGCCTGAGCAGGGGGTTGGACTAGATGACCTCCAAGGTCCCTTCCAACTTTATTATTATTATTATTAGTAGTAGTAGTAGTAGTAATGTAAAGATCACAAACTTTTAACATTATTATGTGATTGATATACGTTAACCATATTAACTATTTTATATGTGCCCCAAGACAAATCCCTCTTCATTCAATGCAGCCCAGGCGAGCCAAAAGGTTGGACACCCAGGATCTAAAGAAAGTTTGTAATGCTATCCAAGTATCAGTTTTTGCTTGGGTGTACAGGTAGTCCTTAACTTACAACCACAACTGGGATTGGAATTTCCATTATAAGTTGGGGCGGTCGTAAAGCAAGTTACCACATGTTGTTGTTAATTGCGAAGTCGTGTCCGACCCATCGCGACCCCATGGACCACGTTCCTCTAGGCCTTCCTGTCCTCTACCATCTTCTGGAGTCCCTTTAAGCTCACGCCTCCTGCTTCAGTGACTCCATCCAGCCACCTCATTCTCTGTCGTCCCCTTCTTCTATTGCCCTCCATCTTTCCCAGCATTAGGCTCTTCTCCAGTGAGTCCTTCCTTCTGATTAGGTGGCCAAAGTACTTGAGTTTCAACTTCAGGATCTGGCCTTCTAAAGAGCAGTCAGGGTTGATCTCCTCTAGGACTGACCAGTTTGATCGCCTTGCAGTCCAGGGGACTCGCAGGAGTCTTCTCCAGCACCAGAGTTCAAAGGCCTCCATTCTTTGGCGCTCAGCCTTTCTTATGGTCCAACTTTCACAGCCATACATTGCAACTGGGAAAACCATGGCCTTGACTACACGCACTTTTGTTGGCAGGGTGACATCTCTGCTTTTTAGTATGCTGTCTAGATTTGCCATAGCTTTCCTCCCCAGGAGCAAGCATCTTTTAATTTCTTGGCTGCAGTCCCCAACTGCGATGATCTTGGAGCCCAGGAAGATAAAATCTGTCACTACCTCATTTGACCAGACCTTATTTTACAACCATTTTTTACTGGGGTTGTTAAGCCAATCACCACAGTCACATGGTTGTTTAGCAAATTCAGCTTCCCCAATTGAATTTTTTTTCTTGGAAAAATGGAAATCGGCTGGGAAGGTCCTAAATTACGATGCCATGATTGCAGGACACTGCAACCAGTTATAAATGGAAACCATTTGCAAACTGCCCAAAATTGTGATATTATGATTGTGATTGTGGCGTGAAGGCCATAAATGTAAGGACATGTCATAAATCACTTTTACTGAGATAATCATTAAACAGTTACAAGTGAAAGACAACTTGTATAAGTCTTGACTTCCCCATTCATTCATTCATTCATTCATTCATTCATTCATTCATTCATTCTTCATTCATTCAATTTCTATAGGCACCCATGTCAAACAAGCAATTCTGGACAGCTATAGAAATTGAATAAAGAAATAAGTAAACATTTGCATTGTTTTTATTGTATCATTATAAGTGGGCATTATTATTTATTACTCTTTTGTTTCTTACTTTGGTAAGCTCATCAGATTCCCAATCAATCTTGCAGTGGCCTGTCACATGTGGGTGGTCTTAAATTCCTTGCTTTCATCTCTTCTACTTTGGATTCTTGCTATAGATCAGGGGTCTTCAAACTTGGTCCTTTTATGACTTGTGGACTTCAACTCCCAGAATTCTGGGAGTTGAAGTCCACAAGTCATAAAAGGGCCAAGTTTGAAGACCCCCGGTATAGATTGACCACGAGGTCCTTCTTTGTCTAAACTAGGATACAGGTAGTCCTTTACTTGTGACCATTCAAAGTTATGGCAGACCCCAAAAGAGGAACTTACAACTTGGATTCAAAGTTCCCACAGCCTCCCAGTAGAGCTGGCTGGGGAATTCTGGGAGTTGAAGTCCACACATCTTAAAGCTGCCAAGATTGAGAAAACACTGTAGCATCAAGTCACACTTGTCAGGGCTCCAAAGGGGAGATCACCCCATTTGGATCCAGTTTTAAAAAATGACATTTATTTACACTTCTGATTTCTTTCCACCCAGGGTTGGATCAAGTTCACCCTTTCTTTTCATAGATTTAAGGGACAATACCCAGCAGAGATTTCCAAACGTATGAATGAAGTTAGTGTTCTGCTAGACCAGGGGTGCGCAACCTTGGCTCTTTTATGACTCATGGACTTCAACTCCCAGAATTCCTGAGCCGGCATGGCTCAGCTTGGAATTCTGGGAGTTGAAGTCCACAAGTCATAAAAGAGCCAAGGTTGCCTACCCCTGTGCTAGGCTGAAAGGAGAATTTCTGAGGTGTTCAGAGATACGCTTAAATTGCTTTTCTTGGTGATACTATAGGTCAGGGGTCCCCAACCTGTGGCCCACGGCTCAGTCGTGGGCCATGGCCTTCTGGCAACCGGCCCATGGGACAGGCTGGCCAATGTGCGCGCGTGCGCATGCACACCCCCTCACTTGCGCTAGCACCACAGCCGCAGGGTACAAAAACAGGACGCCACGCCACGGGGCAAAAATGGCCGCCGCCGCACCACAGGGCGCAGAAACAAGGCGGTGCGCCACGCAAGAACGGGGCAAGCTAGTATTACGTGGGTGCTAGCCCCGCCCTGTTTGCAGCAAGCACATGTTCGCGGCCCCATGCACACGCACACACGTGTCTAAAATGCTTCCCCCTCCCTTTTCCTCTCGTCTGCCAGCTGACAAAGGTTGGTGACCTCTGCTATAGGTAGTTCTCAACTTACAACCACAACTGAGCCGAAATTTCCATCGCTAAGCAAGGCAGTTGTTAAGTTGTGCCCCCATTTTACGAACTTTATGCCATGGTTGTTCAGCAAATCACCACAGTTGTTAAGTAAACCATGGGCTCAGTCAACGAATGTGGCTTCCCTCGTGGATTTTGTTTGTCCGAAGCTTCCCAGGAAGGGTGCCAATGGCAATCCTGCGAACCCGGGATGCTGCAACCATTGTAAAGGCATGAAGGTTGCCAAGCACTCAATGTTTGACCAAGGTGTCTATGGAGATTCTCAGTCATCCAAGGCGTGACTGTCCCAAAGGTGCTTTTTCAAAAGGCAACAGGACTTTATTTGTTTTTCCTTGAAGACGTTTTGCTTCTCATCCAAGCAGCTTCTTCAGCTCTGAAGAAGAAGCTGTACTAAAGACGAACTGAAGAAGCTTCTTGGATATGATAGCAGTGTTCCAATATCTTAGGGGCTGCCCCAAAGAAGAGGGAGTCAAGCTATTCTCCAAAGCACCTGAAGGCAGGACAAGAAGCAACTGATGGAAACTGATCAAGGAGAGAAGCAACCTAGAACTAAGGAGAAACTTCCTGACAGTTAGAACAATTAACCAGTGGAACAACCTGCCTCCAGAAGCGGTGAATGCTCCAACACTGGAAGTTTTTAAGAAGAGACTGGACAGCCATTTGTCCGAAATGGTATAGGGTTTCCTGCCTGAGCAGGGGGTTGGACTAGATGA